CACACGAATGCTACAAGAAGCCTGAGGGGGAGACGTCTGCTTTCTCGCTCCAATCTCCAGGGGAGTCCCCCAGGAGCCTGAGAAAGGGTAGCCCCCAGGGGCCAGCCCCCCCCATGACCATGACCCAAGGCAGGGCCGGAGAAGTAGGGAAAGGGATCCGACGGCAAAAAAGCCCAAGACTGCTCCCCACCTTTCCTCAAACTGTATGGTGCAGACCTGCCACCCGGGCACCTTAGATTCTGACTTAGCTCATCTGCAGTGGAGCCTGAGGGCCAGCGATGCAGATGGTGCTGGTCCAGGAGCCCCAGTCTGGCAAATATCTAACTGATTCAAATGAAAGGCTGGACCATAATCCAAAGGAACACAGCCACATTCCTTCTAAGGATAAAAACACACCCTCATGTATAAGCCTTTCAAAGAAGAACAACGAACATAAGGCACAGGTAGGAACAAGACCAGTGCCTGCACAACACTCCGTGTTACTTCTTCCCCCAGACTGTCAGATTTGTGTGCTTCAAGGTTATGGCTGAATTGGGTCCCCCTAAAATTCAGCTACTGAAGTCCTCATCCACAGTACCTCAGAACATAACTGTATTTGGAGACGGGGCCTTTATGTAATGATACTAAAATGAAGCAGTTAGGGTGTAATATGACTGACGTCCTCGTAAAAAGAGAAGACTGGGACACACACAGTATGAGCAGCCGTGCAGGCAGGCACACTGAGAAAAGACCACATGAGGACACACGCCAAGAAGAGAGGCCTCGGGAGGAACCAACCCTGCCGTCACCTTCATCCTGGACTTGAGGCCTCCAGAGCTGTGAGCAGATAAAGTTCTGCTGTTTAAGCCCCCTGGTCTGTGATATTTCGTATGACAGCCTAGAGAGTTAATATAAAAGTCTTGGTTTGGGTTTTTGCTTCTTGATACCACTTTAATGAGGTTAAGTTTTCGCTGCTTGCCTGCCCAGTGAGAGGCAGAGTTCCAGAAGCTTACAGAATAATAGAGACAGTCCTAACCCAGACCCTGCTCTATTTAGGGGGAGAAACCAAGGCCACCAACCTCAGATGATGATGGATGCTGTGACAGAGGCAAAGCCAAATGCTCTAAAGGCCCAAGGAGAACAAAATCATTCCAACTGGGAGGTGGGGTGGAAGTGTGAGCAGGGACAGAGCTCCCACAGGGATTCTGATGGGTCCAGAAAGCGGAAACATCTGGAATGCTGGAGCAACACAGGCAAAGGCCAAGAGTCACCAAGAGACCCGATGCGCAGGTGTGCAGGGACCAGCAAGACGTCTGGCAGGGCGGGTGCGATGGCGGGGGCCCAGGGGCAGGGAGAACTGTCAAAGTAAACAGAGAACTGAGGAGCTCACTACCTCTGGGAGTCTGAACTCTAATTTGCAGAAAATGAAGATTAATGAAATAAGGAAGGCAGGTTAAGGGCAAGAGAGTGGATATGCAGAGTCCATTGTGAAGGATAGTAAAACTCTCATTACCTAACTGCCTAAGAACAGCCTCCTCAAGATTAACATACTTTCTACCTTCATTAGCCACTTCCAAAAGAACTCTTAGAACTTTATTATCTCTTCCCCTGTTAACCTGGATCTAGGGAACAGGTTGCCATCCACCATGATATCCAAGCTAGGAACCAGAGTATGTGATGGTTGTGGGTAAGTGTCACAACCCAGTGAGTCAGAAAGAGAACTGAAGCCTGAGATCCAAGTTCCGCAGATCGAAGCCTGAGGCTCCGTCACTGCCACCACGGTGCCACCAGTCTGGCTGCAAATAGCCATCACCCTTTGTCAGAGCATGAATCTGGCTAGCAGCCTTCTGCTCTCCCTCCACCCCCACTCAGGAGGACCTTGGATCCCTCATCCAGAGCAAGGGAAGCAACAGGCCCAATGAAAAGAAAGGAACAAAGTTACTCCTTGGCTTGTGAGCATCCAGGATCCCAGCCTCTAGTGATTTCCAGGGAAATTAAGGAACTTCCAAGCGTAATTCACATGAATCTGACTTTAAGAGACCTTTGCCTTGTACACTGACTGAGAGTCCCACCCCTGCAGGAAAGGGGGCTCTCATTTACTCCCAAAGCACCTCCATGTGGCGTATGCCAATGAACTAATCTCGGGTCTCATCACTGACTGAGGAGATGCAAGCATACAGCACCGGCATCTCAACGCCAACAAAAACCAATGTGATGCCTGACGAGATGGGTTATGCCCCTCTCCTTAGTCCTCTCTTCAAGCAATAGCCATGTGGCTCCTCTGAAATGACTCGCCGATAAACTTGGACAAGAAAAAGAAACAAGGCAGACAGGTGTGGCACCAAGAAACACTGAATCAGCCCTGGTCTCTCCCTTTATCCCCTGGATGTTATAACTCTCATCTGCCTGTTCCCCAAAGGACTCTCCTTGGATGTTCAGAATTGGGGTTTGGAAAGGATGATAACAGGGAAACTGGCAGAGTCAACAGTTGGGTCTTGACAGTGAACATAATCCTGGGAACCTACTGGTTCACTGGGCCTGTCTCTACAAAATGTGCTAATTCGGTATAAGAGCAAGTTCCCACAGTTTAGCACAGGCATGTGCAGACTGAACTACTGATCTGAAAGCACGTTTGCATTTACACCCTGGCACCGCCTTATTGAGAGTAAAATATCCTTCTTTCCCCTTTGCTTTTTAGTTCAGTCAAGTGACTTGCTTTGGTCAATGTGATGCTAGCGAGCACGGCGCAAGCAGAAGCCTGAAACACACCTGCATGACTCGGCATGCCCGCCTGTACCTTGGCCAAGACCATGAGAAGAGCACGCCCCAGAAAACCAGCCGGTCCAAGAGGATGAGGGACATGTGGGGCAGACCCGGAACCCACCGACAGCCTGGAGCCAAGCCCAGCCAACTCCCAGCCAACCCCCAGCCAACCTGCACACGCGTGAGAGAAAACGTGGTTTTAAGCCACTGAGTTGGTGTGGGTTCTCTGCAGCATTATTAGAGCAATCGCTGATAAAGAACCGTCTGACAACAGAAATAGGGCAAGGATTACACAGGTTACCGCACAGATACAAACTCATCGAATAACACTCGTTTTCCTCATCAATTTCCAAAGAATGCTTTCAAAAACAGCGTTTGAGTAGCCGCCTTCTTTCCTTCACCTCAGCCCTCAGGCACCGTCTTCCAGTAAGAGAGGAAGACCGCCCCTAAAACAGCAAATATAAGCAGAAAATGACTACAGATTTAAAACACAAATACCAGCAGAGAAATCTAAAATGGGCTTGCAAGAGCGAGAGACAATTTGAAACTTGAAATAAAATTAGCCAAATAAAATTTGAAATATCATTAGCCTTTCTCATAATCTTTGACACCTAGCACACAACACATTTCCATTCTTCTCATCTGAATAGTTATAAAAAAATAAAAATAAAGATTTATGAATAATAGAATTGGAATTGGAGGAGAACTTAGCCTCAGGGCCCAAAAATCACCTTATGAAAAGGCGCACTGCCTCCTGTGCTAACAGATACTACATGCGCTAATGACTTTTCAAAGAGCTATCTCGTTTCTCTGTTCCTTAAACGGAACAGCTTTCCGTCTTCTCTCTTTGCAAATTTACTGAGGTGAGTGTACATCGCGTCATGAAAGGTCAAATGACGTGGGCTTCCCAGGCAGGGGCTGTGGCACTGCTCCTTAGAGCTGATGCAGCTACCGGATGAAAACTACCCATGTCTTGGGGGTGCTTGCTCCACACCGGACTATGGTACTTGCAAATGCAAGTGAGGTCTTTTGCTCAGTCTCCTGAACAAAAATCTATTGACGTGGGAAATGCTGAAGAAGTACTTCAAAATAATATGACACCATCGTCAGAATCAGGAGGCTCCCCTCCAGAAACCCTTACCTTCTGTAACGGGAAACATCATCTCTCAGACCATCACAACCCACCCCCACTGAGAAGCACAGCTCAACCTCCCACCTTGTGAGAAAGTCTTTTTAAGCCTCAAAGCAGGCCAAGCTGCCTAAATGGCACGTGGAGAACTTTACAGCATATGCTGCTGACCTCCTTCAGAGCTGTCAGGCACAGAACTACATGGCTGACCCAGGCCTTCAAGAGTTTGCCCCCATGAAACGGTTAAGTGGGTGCCCCATTTTTCATATATAGGGTAGGGTTCTGCCAAGACATGCAGCTAAACCTGGTCTCTCCAGCCTTACCGATGGTACAGGACATTTCACTCTTTCCAGAATACTTTGTCTGAATAGGCCTCAAAAACAAACCCAGGATTCAGTGGTCTCTGAATCCCCCTCCCTCATGTGTGAAGTCAGACACTATCAAAGCTTATATTCCGGTCCGAACCTCAAATGTCGTTGAGGTATTGACCCTCAATAGAGGACTCAGGTTTTCTGCCAACTCGGCAATAGCCGGAAACACGAAGAAGCGTGTATTTTGAAGCACAGAAAATGAAAATTGGAGGCCACTGGTGACATCCTTTCACAATTAGCATCGCCAAACATGCAGACCATCTCTGTCTAGCCCTTGAGACACACACAAAAAAATTCCAATAGGAAATTACTAGTTTCGTAATCTGAAATCTAGCCATGCTATGCACACACATTCTACAATACTGACACAAGACTTTTTTTTATCCCCCCCCCCCCCATTTAACCTATCACTTTTACATTGGGTTTAACAAAAGCAGGAAAGCAAAGTGGATGCCCTTGAATACTAAGTGGAGTGTAATATGTGCTGAATCAAAAATGGAAAAACTCCAGCAAGTAAAAACAAACACCTTACATATCAGCAACCCCTCTGCATGTGAAAATACACACCTTTAATGTCTCATAGCTCTATTTCCTGTTTCCATTTCTTCAAAATTAAACCAGAACCCAAATCCCCCAAAAGTCACTGGTCTTACCTTAAGCAAAGCATGTAGTAGCCATATATCAGGTAGAAGGGAAAAAAAAGTTTTATCTATTTAAGCCAAGATAGTAAGGTTAAGGCACCATATTACAGTCCTTACTTTCAAAATATTTTGGGTTTCATTCCACTTATTTGTCCATTCCTTGGTCAATTCTTGAACCTAAAAGGAAAAGTACACATGTGTGATTGCTTCATTATCCATTATTGTGGTTTTCTTCTAGAAAGTTTCTAAACTCTTATAGCTTATGGAAGGATGTACGATATATATCTTTAATTACATAGTAATTTTGATCCCTGAAAGAACTATCACCAAATATAAATCAAATAAGCTGATCTCATTCTACAACCTACATTGTAGCAAAGGAAAGAACAGGAAAAAAAAAAAATTGTCAAGTTGCCTAGAGTTTTACAACAGTCTTTTTCATGGTATACTTAAGTAAAAGCTGCTTCCTTGGATATTAACTAAAAATTACAAGTTCAAGAATGGGAATGTCCCATTAAATGGGTTAATTTTTCCCGATTATACACTAGGTCCTAAAAAAATAGTGATTTGCTTTTCTTTCTAATTAGATGGGGTGATTAAATCACCTTGGATGCTGCAGTTTTCTTTAAGAGATAATCTGCTGCTTTAGCTAATTAATAGGACTTATAAATCTCATTCTATCTTAAAAAAGAAAAAAGGTAGCTCTTTAACTAACTCTTTTAGTAAAAGCAAAAATCTTTTGATGACAATCAGCTTCTTTCCAGTCTGCTGTAACCTAGGGGAGAAAATATCCCCCCAATTGTTGAACACAGCACAGTTGGAAACCGCTCAAGTCTAATAAAATTATTTTGCTGGTTCCATAAAACTTTGTAAATGGTCCTAGTAAGTAATTCATTAAGAAGCAAACAGTGATATTAGATTGAGAGGTAGGAAAAAAAAAAAAATGTGTCCTGTAAAAATGAATATCCCTGAAGCTAAAACAGAGTGACTCCCCCCAGGGACGGGGTAGGATTGGACAGACAGATGACACTCGTCCTTTCAAAGCCTTCCTCCTTCCCTACTTTAGCAGTTCTGCCACTTCTCCGCTCCCATCCCATCTGAACGTACTGCTCTTGCAGCTGAGACATTAGCTTATTTAACCAGGCCAAAGTGCATGCCGGGAATACACCTGCTTGCACTCTCACTGCCAACAGCAAGACACCCCCCACACGCCACTGAGTATATAGCAACTGGAGGAGGTGCTCATGTCAGACACCTCCCGGACAGAAAGCCTTTGTTACTGACAAGTGGGGAAACTGAAGGGACGGCTTACCAGAGAGGAAAACCAAACCACACCTAACCCACCTATACTCAATTGTTTGGCAGTCATTCATTTTACTCCATTTAGCCCAAATAGGGCTGACTAAGTTAAAAGAATACCGCTTCATTTTCACTAGTTATTAAAATCAAAATCAATCATCTTCTTGGTTAAAACCACATAAATGAAAGAAACAGGACCGACCCTCTCTAGTTTTGCTTTTTGTGTGTTTTTAACGGTTTGCAAAGACTGTCCTGAGCTGTCTGGAACTGCACATTCACTCCAGTCTTTCGTCTCATCCCTTGAGTGATGGCAACTTCAGGCTCTAATGATGGCAGTTAAAGCCACCTGGCTATCAGGGCGTGTTTTGGAAAAGCTTTCAGAGAGGCAATGTTCCGAGAGGGAATGTTCTGCCTTTTCTCCCTACAGAAGAAGGAAGGACTGGTATATTGAATTTACCAATTTGTAATCATCGGTTCACAGATTCTCACTGGCAATTTATCGGACAAACACGGCATTCAATAATAAATGCTTCTGCATTTCACCAAAAGGTGTGTTCTCCCTGAAGAAATGACAAGCCAATCAATCCTTTTCCAATTCAATCAAACCATTCTAGCTTTAAACAAATTTTTAAGTATGCCTTGGGTTTATTTTACTATGGATTTTAAAGCAAATAATCTTCATTTACAAAATAGACCAATGTGTGATACCACCTCTAGCAAATGACCAGGTGATAAGATTTATAGCTAAACAGACAGCAAACTATTGTAAAAGGTCAGCAGAAAACTAGATTAAAACCTAGAAATTGTTATGAACGAGATACGTAGTCATTTCTGTCACAGCATGTGTAATGCATTCAAATTAAGATGTTTATTGCTTTCTATTAACTTGCTAGGTATTCCTGAAAACTATTATTAAGAAACAATATAAGACTATATCCATTTCGAAGCACTCAAAATTAGAATTTGAAGCACTAAAATACAAAATTTCATCAGAAAAATAGGGAGTAAGAAACTAATGTTTTTACTCATGCTATTATCAGCAAATTCATCAGCATAATTACCCAGGGAAGTGTCAACAAGTTCCTAACTACAAGCCAATTTATATTTTCAGTATTGTGTACTCTTCAAAGAGCTTTACCAATAGAATCCAATTTTCTTTCTCAATCTGCTGTAACCATTCAGCACAGTGAACAAAATCCAACCCAAAAAGTGTTCTCAGTGCCTGTTTTTCTTTCACAGATGACTCTTTTTAAAAAACAAAAATAGTACAGAACCAGGTCAGCCATGAAACTGGCTTTCAGAAAGAGCCAGCATACCAGCACTCAACGTCAGCCCACGACATCTCCAGAGCCACTCTCTCTCTGGTCACTCACTGCCACTCCCTCTCCCTGCTTCAGCTCTCCCTAGCTTAAGGGAAACTAAGCATCCACGTGGAGTATTCAGAGATTCCCCCAGGGCTGCACTTCCCACTGGAAACAAAGTAAAGGGATGACAAAAAGACTAAACAGTGGTCATTCTTCAGCTACGGTTAAGCTGTGGGGACCACCGCTGTCTCATGAATGTTGGAACATGGCCTCCCTCGACTCGGGGCTCCTGTGTGCTCTGAAGTACCGAGCAGCCTCCTGGCCTGCGTGTGAATTTCAGTTGCAGTAACCATCATGTACAAATCCCATTTAATAAGTCACAGAGGACACGATGAGATACACCAAGAGTCAACCATTGTGCTTCTTTAAAAATGGGGTGAGGCAGAGGGAGGGTTCAGTGAAATGAAGAAGGAAAATGAGTTTAAACAGCAAGTATTAAAAAGCGTGCACTTAAAATAACAGTGAAAAGATTTTTAAAAAATAACGAGTCAGGCATCACTTACTCTTGCTTCATTCTGCTGAAGTTTTTCCTCCATACTTAAGGCTGTGGGGGAGTCTAAGAGGGCAATCTACAATTTAAGCCATAAAAGAGAAAAGTAATTAGTAAACAGCAATAATCTACAGGAAGGATTTGTCCATGATTAATAAATTATCAAAAAGAGCCAAATAACTATTAAGCAAAGGTGAAAAGTACTGTCCCACAACCACCCCAAAAGTGTCAGTCATCACTGAGTCTTTAATCAATGGGGTACATATCTCATAATATTCAAAACCATAGCATCCTAGCAAACCCACATTTGCAATACAAATCAGTAAAGCAAAGGAAAAAGACAAACATGTTACATACTGACATTTTACCAAAATCAAACACGGTCTAAATCCCTAAATCTGAAAGAATTCATCTGTTCTGAATACGCACAATGTACAAAATTCAAAAAGAAGCATAAGTCTTGCTCAATCACAGGCTTCTGAGAATTATACATGTTGATACATGCAAATGAAATTTAGTTTCACTGCTGGATTATACTCCATGTGTGGTATGGCTACCCATTTCTTTATGCGCGTTGCAAAGGTATAAAGATTGACACGTGAATGACAAACACCAAAATCTGGTTGGAACTGGGACAAGACACAGAAGGGAAAGCACAGGGAGCCAGGTAGGACACAGAGGGGCTCTGACTGTATTCGGAACTCATAATCTGAGAGGTAGGGACATAGTGCTCCCTAGGATGTCATCAGAAATAAAAGAAAGGGATCATATAAAAGGCACAGCATGTGGAGGGGGTGGGGGTGTGAGGACTTCTGGGTGGCTCAGTTGGTTAAACATCCCACTGTGGCTCAGGTCATGATCTCGCAGTTTGTGAGTTTGAGCCCCGCATCAGGCTCTGGGCTGACAGCCTGGAGCCTGGAGCCTGGAGCCTGCTTCAGATTCTGTGTCTCCCTCTCTCTCTCTCTCTCTCTGCCCATCTCCCACTTGTGCTCTGGCTCTCTCTCAAAAATAAATAAACATTAAAAAAAAACTTTCAAAGATACAGCAGAGGGGACATAGTCAATGATATTTTAATAGCGTTGTGTGGTGACAGACGGTAGCTACACTTGTGAGCAGAACATCACAAGATGTTGAATCACTATGCTGTACACCTGAAACTGTGCATCAGCTATACTCAAGTAAAAAATTTAAAAAACAAAAAATAGAAAGGGTCTTCCTCCCTCCCCATCCACAGGCAACCACTTTTTCCCAATATGCTGTGTAAACCTGAAGTCATTCTGGTCATATGCACACATATTTTTGTTGTTTTTTAAACAGCACAAACACTAGCAGAACACTATTCTGAACACTGCCATTTTCGCTCAATATATTCTGGAGAAAATTCAGTACAAATAAAACCACTTCGTTCTTTTTAACAATTCCAATTCACCAATCAGTATTCCATATATGTATACATATATATATACATATATGTATACAATATTTGAATATTCAAATCATATATCCATATGTATGAATATTCCATAATTTATGTCAGCACTTTCCTAGTAATGGAAATGCAGGGTTTCTTTCTAATCTTCTGTTTTACCAGCAATGCTACAAACAGCAATCCTATACCACGGTCTACCATGTACATAGGTGTATCGATAAATTCCTCCAAAGGAATTTGTGAGTCATTTATATGTATGTTTTTTTTTTTTTAACTGCCAACTTCTCCTCCTCAGAGACTGTAGCATTTTTTTTTCATTATTATTTACATTTCAATTTCTATTCAAATGAATGCAACAGCCATAAGTGGTCTTCGTTGGCTCAGTTAAACTTTCAGGCTGACAAGATTACCATGGGCCACACTCCACATGGACAGGACAGCAAGGTCCTCATGAAGTCTCTGTAACGGTCCCCACAGCTGTCAGGAGCTACCATCTTTAGCCCTCTCGAAGGACTGAGATTGAAACACGCACCTAGGGGGCTCACCTTGGCCTAGAAGCCCCACACCCCACCAGAGGCAGCATCTCTTGTTCAGGCATACCCTCTAGGGTCCACAAGAGACATCCTCAGTTACAAGAGTCACTGCACTCAGGGAAACCCAAACCTATGGCTTTCCACCCACACTTACAGTTTATATATAGTCCATCGTAATCCAGATGCAATTCCCCTATTAGGGGCCATTTTTATCATTAGAGATATTGTCTGGTGATAAAGATGGCCTCCCACTGTTACCCAGATTACGGAGAATAAAGCCAACAAGATAAGCACTAGTAAAGGAAATTCATTCATAGCGGAAAAAAAGGAGTTTTGCTAACACGTTACTACAGCACATTATTGCAGCACCTAGCATGCTGTCTTGCACACAGATGGTACTCGACAAATAGTTGCCAGTGAAGAAATGCAGGTGGCAGGCTTTATTATGCCTGCACAGTTTATATGTGGCTGACAATTTTCACAGCAATTAGTGACCCCTTTATAACATGGCTAATTTCACCGACTCCGCTATAGGGATTTTTCATCTATACTCAAAGCTGAAACATTCCTACCACATCGTCAACTCAGCAGATAATCACCGACTGAACACATGCGGGTGGGCGGGCTATCATGACCACTAGGCCTTTTGGTAAACCCACCTAAGTCTTCTTAAAGGAAAAATCTGGTCAAACTAAACCATTTTCAATTAAATTACTGTTTGCAAGGTGTCCATTTAGAAGAAAGACGTTCGGGACTAAATAATATTCAGATGAAGTTCATGTGTTAAACCAATGGTAACACGGCATCACAACTGCAGCAGCATCAACTCCACCAACGACATGTATAAGCACCTGTCGCCTCCCACCCGGGCCAATATACTATGCAATTAAGCATTTTGATCTTTGCCCATCTGATAGGTTTTCTAAGAAATGTGAGGTATAATTTACATGCAGCAAAATACACAGCTTAATGACTATGTGTCCATATCCGTATATTTTCATCTCACTGTTCTTAATATTTGCATTTACCGTATTTCAAGGGACATTGAATATTTTTTCATAGACTTAGAAACCATTTGAAACTTTTTCCTGTGAACTGTGCTCATATTCTTTATTCACTTTTCAGTCAGCTTGTGATCTTTTCCTCATTTTTTTTTTTAATAGAAGCAATTTTGGGGGCACCTGGATGGCTCAGTCGGTTGAGTGTCAGGTCATGATCTCGCAGTTTGTGGGTTCAAGCCCTGCATCGACTTCACCGCTATTAGCACAGAGCCCGCTTTGGATCCTCTGCCCCGTTCCTCTCTGCCTCTCCCCCACTCACTTGCTCTCTCAAAAATAAATAAAAATATTACAAAAAAAAAAAAAAAAAAAAAAAGAAGACCTTTTCACAATAAGGAAACTTGTGGCACAAGTTGGTGATCTATTTCTCCTGGTTTGTACTGATTAGAGCAAATTTTCATGGTGTTATGTAAATATGCTACGTCCTTCCTTACCTTGGTCTATGTGAGCTCTCATGAAATGAGACAGAGGATTACAGCTCCCCGTGGCAAATATGTTTGGCTCTGTCTCCTGCTATTTCCTATAGTTTTTTGGGTTTTTTTCTTTATAAAAGTTGACACATTTGGTTTTAATTATGAATTACACTCTTTACTATAATAAAGTGCTTTTTTGTTTGTTTTAGAGAAAGAGCACATGAATGAGGGGGAGGGGGAAGGGAAGGGGAAGGGAGAGGGAGAAAATATCAAGCAGGCTCCACACTCAGCACAGAGCCCAAACCAGGGCTAGATCCTATGACCCTGAGATCATGACCTGAGCTGAAATCAAGACTCGGACATTCAACCTACTGAGCCACCCAGGCGCCCCATAAAGTGCTTTTTTAAGGTATGCATAATATATATAAAATGTAAAAACAACACAATGCTGTTTTGTACTTCTTCCTTTCCCCTCTGAATTACCTAGTAGGCCTGTGTTCATTCATACAAATATCATGTAACAGTTTCCGTCTGTGACCCTCCTGGAGATGTGTCTTAAAAGTTTGCACATGATGACATTTCTATTATCTAGCTATCATTTAAAGTTTCTCTGTGACTCCAGCTATACAGATGAGAAATTCATCCTATTTCCATTTTAGTGTCCTCCTTTGCTTCCCGACTTTTCTGGCTTATTTCATTTCTTTATTGTTTAATTTTCTCATCTCCAGATATATCCAAGAGAAAGAGTTCACAGACGTTCTCTCTGTCAGCTTTGAAGTAGAATTCTGAAAACATGCTTTAAATATAACAAAAGAGAACACTTGAAAGGACAAGCGATCAAAATACTCAACTTCATTGATCATCTGAGAAGTGCAAACTAAATCCTTCTGTAACATAACAGTGCATCCGTCAGATGGTCACAATGAAAACTGGACAGAACCCAGTGTGGACAAGGGCCTGCAGCAGCGAGATCGGGCACTTTCGTGTGCTCATGGTAGATGTAAACCAGTACAGGCACTGTAAAAACTGTCTGGCTAAAACTGAGCATATGTACACCTTCCGACCCCCCAACTCCACTCTTAAATATAAACCTAACAGAAACGCGTCGGTACATTCGCTAAATGACATGCAGAAGAAAGTCAGCAACAGCACTTATAGCCCCATAAAGGAAACTCCCCAAATGCCCATCAAAATTACACTGGATAAATGAGTTGGGACACACTTGTGTGATGGAATACAATATAGCAGTGAGAATGAACGGATCTACAACTACATGCAACACCATGGATCAATCTCACAAACACGACATTGAATGAAAGAAATGAGACCAGGAGTATATACTACATGATTCCATTTACATAAAGAACAAAAATAGGCAACACTAAAACCTAATCTATGCCCTCAGAAGTCAGGATAATAGTTACTCTTGACAGAAATGGCAGGCAGCACCTGGAAAAGGAATATCAAGGGGGTCTTCCAGGATGCTGGTAATTTATGTTCCTTGATAGGGACGCAGGTTAGATCGGTGGATCCGGCTTGCGAAAATTCAATAATCTGTACACTTACAATATGTAGTTTCCCTGTACATAAATAACTCTTTTTTTTTTTTAATTTTTTTTTTCAATGTTTATTTAGTTTTGGGACAGAGAGAGACAGAGCATAAACGGGGGAGGGGCAGAGAGAGAGGGAGACACAGAATCGGAAACAGGCTCCAGGCTCTGAGCCATCAGCCCAGAGCCTGACGTGGGGCTCGAACTCCCGGACCGCGAGATCGTGACCTGGCTGAAGTCGGACGCTTAACCGACTGCGCCACCCAGGCGCCCCCATAAATAACTCTTAAATACAGAGTTCATATATATGTATATATACAAACAACTACACATATCTGTGTATTTCTCTATAGTAGGAGAAACAAATACATGTTATGTTCTTGTGCTTTATTTACTTTGTACTTTTGAAATTCTGATGCATTTGACATTTTGCACTGGCAAATACAAAAACTTGTTAAAAGGAGTTGATTTTTATTTAGCTGCCGTTAGCCAAATAATGGGACTTTGATTTGAATAACCATTTCAATGAACCATGGCAGCATTTGGAATATTGTAGGAATAGAGCAATGTTACCAGAAAAAAATTATACAGAGATTTTTAATGGGTACTTAAGAACACCTGCTTATTTTACTGAGCATCACAAATTTAATTAATTTAGGATAAGCCTGTACTGTCCCACAACAATTTATAGTTTCATAGTGTGATAAATTATTTTAAATTGGACTCCTGTTTTTATTATAACGTATGAAGTTAACCAAAGAATTTTATCTTCAGTGTGCTCTAAAATAGACTTAACTATCTCTTCCATCCTCACCCTCACCCACAAAAATACTCCTTCAATTACAGCAGCAGCCCTCAGTCACAAAAGAAGATAAAAGGCAACTGGCTCACACGATACGTCTCAAGACATCCCTCAGACAGAATATGGAAAACTTTTAATAAATTAAACTTTTCTGTCTGTATGATAAGGCTTCCTTCAAGGATTTCCTCAGGTTCATTTAAAAAGGCTCATCTTGGGGCGCCTGGGTGGCGCAGTCGGTTAAGCGTCCGACTTCAACCAGGTCACGATCTCGCGGTCCGGGAGTTCGAGCCCCGCGTCGGGCTCTGGGCTGATGGCTCAGAGCCTGGAGCCTGTTTCCGATTCTGTGTCTCCCTCTCTCTCTGCCCCTCCCCCGTTCATGCTCTGTCTCTCTCTGTCCCAAAAAAATAAATAAACGTTAAAAAAAAAAAAAATTAAAAAAAAAAAAAAAAAAGGCTCATCTTTCTTTTCCTTCATTGCCACAACTTAGTAAATCATTAAGTACAACAAGTCGCACCAATAATCGTCCAAATACTTCCCTTCACATAGAATAGTGTGGGTGATCCTATCAAATCATCCTTAAGTGTTCACTTTAGATAAATAAAATTTTTATGACACTGAAAAAAAGATCCCATAGGGCGCCTGGGTGTCTCAGTTGGTTAAGCGTTTGACTTCAGCCTAGGACATGATCTCACCATTCCTCAGTTCGAGCCCCGCGTCAGGCTCTGTGCTGACAGCTCAGAGCCTGGAGCGCTGTTTCAGATTCTGTGTCTCCCTTTCTCTCTGCTCCTTCCCTATTCATTCTCATTCTCTCTCTCTCTCTCTCTCTCTCTCTCTCTCTCTCTCTCTCTCAAAAATTAAGAAACAAACAACAACAAAAGAAAAGAAAAAAAGATCCCAATAGCATGGTATACAAATTAAAAAGACTATCATGTCCTAAGTCAGGGGAGCCTGATAATATCATATACAGCTGGACTATTCATTCTGGCAACTTGCCTTCACACACAGGAAAGGTCCACATCAAAAAGTAAAATATATGTGGAATGTTTTGTTTTGTTTTGTTTTGTTTTGTTTTGTTTTGTTTTGTTTTAGAGAGAGAACACGGGCCAGTGGGGTAAGGGCAGAGGGAGAGAGAAAGAATCTTAAGCAGGTTCCACGCTCAGTGCAGAGCCTGATGTGGGGCTGGATCCCACAATCCTGGGATCATGACCTGAGCAGAAATGAAGAGTCGGTTGCTCAACCACCCGACTGAGTCAACCAGGTGCCTCTGTGTGGAGATATTTTTAAGTGCAATGAAGAATTCCTATTCAAATGCTGTCTGCCATCGGATGGGAATAAACTGTCAGGTACATTTCAGGATGCAGGAAACTCAGTGAGGTTTTCATTCTGACAATAGTTTTATGGGTCAAACCACTTATGGTATGTCAAGGGCTTCAAGGGCCATACATTTCTAGATGAAAAGCTGCTCTAGAAAGGGCACTCTGCATCTAAAGAAAAGCATTTTTTTTTCAAATAATACACTTAAGACATCCATGTATGGGTTAGGAAAATGGGAAGAAATGTATCTTTGTTTATTTCTAACTCAAATCTAAGTCCAATATTTTAAAAAGCTATCCCTGATTTTCTTTCAAGGGTGGACTTTCTTTACAACAGTATCTAAAACCCATCAGAACCTAAGTCACACTATTCATTAAAGAACGTAACTCTGTGTGCACACTACACAGATAAGCAAGTTTACTGTGAAAAAACAAGGACAAAGGCCCTTCACTGGAATCCCAAAACATCCCGGGGTGAAGCCATTTGGACAGCCAAGCAAGGCCTCAAGGACATCATCTCAGCCAGTTACACATGTCACTGTATCACCATAACCACCTCTGTAATGGGCAATACAAAATAGATTCAGAAAGGTCTTCAAACAAGTCTTTCATTCTGTCAAAGTACATTTTCAAACCATAAAACGCATGGGTAGAATTTTAAACCTTACTCCAAGCACCTCAATTTCCTTCCACTAATGGAGATTATGCGGCTAATCCTATTGCATGCTAAATTTCCATCCATAATTGATAACTATTAGATACTTAATCATTTCAGGCTTTGTGGATGAAATCTTACACACAGAGCCCATAATGAATGCAAAGGCCTAGGAGAAGGTAATGTAAAGGAGACTGGCTAACTCATTCAAAGCTTTACCTAGCACTTATTTACTCAAATCAATACAACGAGTGCGATAATTGTCTCATTAAGATCTAGAAATAGATGTCACTACTCAAAGAAAATTATCCATAAATCTCAGAAAAACCCAACCTGATTCCCTTGAGCAAGCAGCGTTTTCAGTCTGGCTATTTCAGCACGCAGCTCACGGATGAGTTTGACGTTGGCGTCCTCATTAATAGTAGGCTTGTTGATGATGTTTTTGGCTCTATTTGCATAGCGAAGAGTACTTAGGGTTTCTCCATAATTGACATCAGCAGGTGAAATGGCTGTGAAGAATGAATTCAAAAAATAATTTATCCAGCACTCCGTGTTTCATTTAACACAAAGTTGGTTTGTAATTTAAAAGTCAGATTAACCCCGGGTCATTGGATAGACTAAATATTCATTGCCATGGTAATGAATATTAAAAATTATCTAGATTTATAGGAAAGGTGCTCACTATACCAAATTAAATGTCATTTTGCTCCTCTTAAGTCTAGAATCAGCTAGCTATCTAACCAACTCTAAAATGAGATATGAGACTTTCCACCGTGCTTTAAGTAAGGAGTTTTCTCTGTTGAAAATATAGGAAGAAGATTTTAAGACTATTTGTACTTCTCAATACTACATAGAAATTAAAATACTTTTAAAAGTTACGGCAAAGTCTACCACCTGCAAAAATCCATGGCATTACTACTTTTCAAAAGAGTCAGTAGATCAGTGAATTCTTTTCCTCTAAAGCTTTGGTTAACCACCCCCCTGAACCCCCACCACAGCCTTCAGGGTTCAGGTAACTAGATAGTTACCTGTATCTGGAGTATATACCCTAGGTTAGATCCCTTTTCTCTACCATTAACGCATGGCCTGGGGAATGGGGGAGACACAGAGACAAGAAGGGAAGAGGAGAAAAGGCAAAAGAAAGTGGGGTTAAAAGGTTTTGAGTTCTTCCAAGCAACTGTCTCCCCTTTGTACATCTTTTTCTGTTACACTTCTTCCAGTGAGTGAAAATGCAGGAGCATTTGCACAACACATGGCAAGTTTATCTAACTAGGAAACAGGAAAGAGAGTTAATAATATGATAGTGTAGACAGGGATCACAGCGATTTTCTTCAAGATAGAAAAACTATTATCTTTTTTAAGATTTAAAAACAAAAAGGCACTACTTCCTAACGAGATGCTTTAAACTTACACATCTACAGGTAGTTCACATAAAACACTACATGCTGAGGACAAGAACTTGAAATTCTTACTGGCGATCATGATGGTTTTAGAGTTCCCGCCAAGGCTATCTTTCAACAGCCAAGTCAAAACAGAATCTCTGTAAGGCACGAAAACTTGTTTCTTCTTCACAAGAGGGTTTGCCGCATCCTGAGATAAATCGGCTGCACGAAGGAAGAAGAAAAAGAAGAAGAAGAAAAAAAAAAAGAGTAAAGTTTTTTCTCTAATTTGGCTTCAGAAAACCTTGAGGCTATCCTCTCAGACTATAACACAAACATTATACATAATTGCTTTGTGTTAATACAGTACCACGAAGAGTAAGAGGGGCAGGGGACAAGCAGAAACCCACCTAAGGCAGAAATGACATTTCCCAGAGTCACGAGGGATTTGTTAATATTCCCCCCTTCCTTCAGTCTGACCCCAGTGGCACCGGTGGCATCCGCTCGCTCACTTCCAGCAAGATCAACTAAGTGGATCTTACTCACGGTTTCAGACGGCATTTCAGAATCAAATTTTGCCTGTAGCAAAATATAAAAGCAAAATTGAAGAGGTGTAAAGAGCCCTGATGTTGTCTGTGATACAAATTCTAATTATTTTCCACTTCTCACTGTGATCTCTCAGGGTAGGGTTTGGGGTTTTTTTGTTTTTTGTTTTTAATTTTGTTGTTTCGTTGGCCTTCTTACTGGTTATAGAAACTTCCAAATGAAACTGAATACACCAGAAGTCTACCATATGTAATTCTTAAACTTTCTGAAGATATCTGTTCCATTACTCAAATCACTCGGTCATTCTCAACAAAGGCTTACTAAGTCTGACTGTAGTAGAACAGGACACAAGTCACTGTGGGCACTCAACAAAGAAAATAGAAGTAAATAAATAAGTAGTTTTGTTCTCATCTAGAGTCTTCAGCATTCCAAGCACAATGGCTCTCCAAAATACGATAAATGTAGACAGTTGTTAAAAGACCATTTGACCATTATTCAATGTCAAAACTTGTTTCACAAAGTATAAAACACTGAAAACCTTAAATAGTGTATTCCTTGCTTCTGGATTCTACCAAAATCTTACCTTCCCAATGACTTTTAACCTGTATTTAACAGTCTGAGCCAAAATGCCAAAAAGAAATTACCATATTTTGATAGAAATGTAAGCCTCTTAGAAACCAGAGGTGGCCATATCCTAATTCACATTAACCAGAAAGAAGGAGAAAATCCAAAAAACTACAGTAAATCATAAGCAAAGATGTAACAAAAGGTAAAGATGTGGAGCATTTATTAGGAGTTGTTCTGACTGATCTTTGAGAATTTTTTTATTTTCTTGGTCTGGGATTCCCCTCCTGAATAAAATACTATTTTTTGTATCTGATATGTTCAATGGCTAACATAGGCCAGGACATCCCCAAACTCCTAACACACGCTCAAGTCCCAAGAGGACCCTACGTGTTTGCATTCATCTGTTCTACTGGCCTAGGTCTTAAACTATTTACCTTCAGTAATTCCACACACAGTCACAACACACCTCACCTCGTAATCAGAATAGTTCTTACACTGGTACCTAAAAACATTGGTTGCCTTTTAATATCATTCAAATAATCATAATCAACATTGTGGGGCTAGTGCCATGGAGCGATAATGTACCACAATGAGTTACTCACCTTGGCCTCCAGCTGGTCTGACTTGCAATCCATTATCTCCCAGAGAGCTCACAACACTGAAAACTTTTGCTTAATTATGCAAAAAGCAAGTTTTTTCTGTCTAGAACAGGGCTGAAGCCTGCTAACTATTTCTTGAGGGTACACATCTGGATATTTCAAACGACCGTGCCTGTAACCACGGAGAAACTGCACACAACACATGTTCGTCTCTAATTAACAAGGAGATGACAGGCCGTCACCTTTGCCTGCTGCTGCTCCTGGTTCAACAATGATTGGTCCTCAGCTGGTGCTAATCACCAAGTAAAGACCTCGAGGATGGAGCCAGCCGGCCCCCCAGCTGCCCTCACCTGAGTGAACTTGATGGTGAAGATGGCATGAGACCTGCTACTGACGTCGTTCATCCCAGTCGCTGCTGTGGTTCGGTTGATATTTCCTGCATCCATGAGTTCTTCCACATCACTGTAATTCTGTACTAAATGTTTGGATAAATCTGGGAAAAAAGCAGAGGGCGGGGGCTGAAGAAATCTCCCTAATATACAATAAACAGAATAAGAAATTTACCCCTAGGAAATAACACACAACTGTACAAATTTGCTGACTTGTTTAAAGATCTTGCTTGTTCCTACGGTGTGCCAGTTTATAACACAGACTCGGGGATCAAGTCCTACTCTGCTGCTTACCAGTGGACTTACATGGTTATGCACAAGTCACTTAACCTCGCTGAGCCCCAGTCACCTCTGATAATGTGTACCTATCACATAGGGTATTTATGATAAACGTTAGCTATTATCATTGACCTCATGAGCGTTAGTTATAGCAAGGGAAACATAAACACTAGCTTCGTGCAAAACCCAAGAGCATTTTTTTTAATCCTTTAAAAAACGTGTCATTCATTTTCTGGGAACATTCATATGTTTCTAAAATCAAAAGCTATGAAAGATATACTGTGTAAAGGGTTTCCCACCACCCATCCTAAACCCACTGCTCACTTCCCTGTGTCAGACAACCCAATGTAATTAGTTTTTCCATACTCTTCTAAAAATAACCCATAGATATGCAGGCAATTACATACACGGGTGTGTGTGTGTGTGTGTGTGTGTGTGTGTGTGTGTGTGTGTGTGTG